CAGGAAGGTGGAGTGTCCGGACCAGTTGGACGAAAGTGCCCTTATGTGCACCCTCCTTGACAGCATCAAGTCCGCTATGGAGAACTCAACAGAGGTGCTTGTGCCGTCCACCCCAGACACCTGTCATGGCGCGCCACACACCTATCCCTGGGTTGCGGGTGTCTACAGTCGGCAGTGTTTCCTATGCTATGGCGTCCTGATATCGGGAGCCAATTCATCCTGGTGGGTGATTGTGTCGGCTTCATGTGGCAAATACTTACGCCCTGAGAATCTTACGGTAGTACTGGAAAAGCCATCAGAACCCTATCGGTAAATAATTGCTCCAGCCGCTACCTTTTGTAGACCAATTATGTGGTCGACATTTTTGTCTCTTTTTGTGGGTTTAGTTAACACACACACACAGAATTGTGTGGTTCATTCGTTACATAACACAACAAATGCGTCTTCGGCACTTAGACATTGTAAAGATCAATGCTAGAACTATCTTGCCTAGAATGCAGAGCAAATAGTCACATTTCCACTGGATTGACATCCCCAATGATCTAACACGCTGAGATGGACAATTTTAGCATAAACTAGGGGCGCGCTGATTCAGTAGAATTCGTCCCCCGAATGAATGAAAACGTTCGCGTTCCAGGTATATGCATGGATAAGGAAGAAGACTTGTCGAGCAGCGTGTCAATTAGTTTATTTTCCTGAGCTCTCGAACTCTTACAGGAGTCCATCTACTGCGTATTGTCATGTCAAACTCTTCTGAAGATGGACTCCTGTAAGAGTTTGAAAGCTCAGGACAAGTAACCAAGTGATCTGGTGCTCCACAAGTCCTCTTCCTTATCTGAGTAAGTGTTGTTTCAACCCTTCGACATTTGGAATCCGTAGTTGGTTAAAATTACCTTAATATGGGGTCAGTACGATTATTTTTATTCCCAAGTGCTCTTGTTATTTGATAATGAAGTCAGTTGAGTAGCACTAATCATGCGCGTGCTGAGACGTTCTATGAGGTCTGTGGGATGCGGTAAGCTGAAATGCTGTAAACCGTAGGGTATGCATTTCCGGGAAGGCGTGGAGCAGTCCGCATCTGAAGATCAGTTCACTGCTTAATCTACGTCAAGCGAGGAGTTTATTCGAGTTCTCTGCTCTGTGTTCGTCATAGTCAAGCAATTTCGATTTATTGGCCATGCCGTGACAGATCAGCCGTCAAGGCTGACGTCATGTGATTGGTGATTTTGCCATGCGGGGCTGCATTTCTGTCCACGTGATACGGTGTTTTTAAGACAGGGTCAGACTGAAGCTTGAAATGTTATGAATAGCGGGTTACCGGTACTTCAACGGTAGCCAGCCTAGACATGGACGGACATAGACGTCTTACACAAGAGCAGCAAGTAAGAGGATGTTAGTGAGTTCCCCAGTTCAGCCCAAAAATGGACTTAAATCAAGTCCTTTGTGCGCCTTGTGGTGCATCTTATCCAGGCTTACAGATTGAATTCGGATCTTGCGGATTAATGGTCGCTTTTCTTTTTATCCGGCTGCTTTTTTAAAACCTGTTCTAAAATTACTGGCAATCTCGTTGGCACTTTATGTTGAGATGTATTTGATACAAGTAGTAATTCGTTCTAAAATACTCATAGTATTTGTAACCCTCGACAACATCCATCGTTTATTCTTCTTTTCTACTTTTGCTTTCCATTTCTTGATTGTTATAAATCCAGATGGTATAAAACACGGCAAGGCCACTCGAAGATTGAATTTTTCATGAATCTTCGAGTCATTTGTCCTGCATAAAAAGAACCTTATTGTCCAGCCTTGAGCAGTGAATATCCCTTCAACCGTACGTCCGGGCTTTTACCCTAATTCTTTTTGACTTTGTGCTTGATCATGTTTCAGGCTATGAAACCTTGCGGCAACAAAGAATGCGGCAGAGAGGCTCCTGTAATATGGAAAGCTTTTTGATGGAGTTTTATGATTGCGGTAGTGGAGGCGGCGAGTAAAGCTTTTAGCCCTAAATCCCTAATGATCCGTGGAAGGCGTTGATAAAACTCGCATTGTCCTGATATATTTTGCGGCTCCGCTCTAACCCTAGCATAACCTGCCAACGTAAATAAAATAAGTAAGCACGACCTAGCCGTAAAGTCTAGATGGGACCACATACACTAACCTTGCCTATCCTTACTTTGTATTCGACGCTTAAGTCCTTTTTATCTTCAGACGAAGTGCTTATCAGTCCAAACGTTCTTTATTCTTTCTCCAAAAATTGGCGATAGGTCCAAATAGAATGCTGAGTTAGAATAGCAGTCCAATGGAGAAAATACTTAGTAAAATTTGCCCAAAGTTTGATGAACTTTTTGTTCGCATGAATAGTTTAACAGCGTGGAGGCTGTGATTCTAAATGGGTTTGGGTATAGTTCCAGAAGCATGCTATCTATAGCAAATCCAGTCACCCTACTCTGCGCTTAAACTAAGCCTTGCATTACTGCCAATACAAGCGAACATGCTAGTCCCATGATTTAAATGAGAAGAAGACGACTCGATCGCTGGGACAATACTTTTATTCGCCTGACGTTTCTTCTATCTGCAACTGCTCTCTGACTATATCTCTGATGACGAATCCTCGACGGATATCGAAATGTCAGGCGAATAAAAGTATTTTCCCAGCGATCTTGTCGTCTTCTTCCCTTGCAATACTGCCTCATTTAGGACAGTTTCCGCAGGACGCAAGGGGAGGGGCATATCTAAACTCAAAGAAATTAAATTAACTGTAGAGTTAAGCAGGGAATATGGTTTTTCGCAAAAAACGAACTAAAATTGTCCATTGCTTCGGCTGTATGTGTACCCTTCAAATTCTCTATAATTTTTAACCAACGAAGATAATCTTCAGACAATTAACGATAGGGCCTCCTCTGGGTCAGTTTCTTTGTGGCATTTTTTCGGACTTTCAGTTCATTTAGCAGTCTTTTACCTCAACACAGTGTACCGTCTCTTTTTTAATCTCTACAAGATATATGAGTTTGAGTAACTAATATGTCCCCCCGCCGGCAGGACCCTGTCAAGGGAAGGCCCGTTACCGTCCTACAATCGACCTTGAACTAAGTTCCAGGAAGCCTAAATACTTCCGCGTCCTAACCTAACGCAAATTCAAACCTTACTCGTACCCTGAACTCCGTCCCAATTTTTTCAGGAATTTGTTGCTAAGCCACCTGGACTACGGATGGTTCCTATTTCGGTGTCCGGCCTGTAGGGGCCGTCTAAATAATCCCGACCGAAGTATGTGTAGTTATGATGTCTGTATGGGTAGTATACTTTTTCAGATTGAATCTATGACAAATCTGTTTTCTCCCGTGCTTTAGAGTCCACTCGAGAGAAGACCAACCCAACCAACAAAATGCCTCCGGTAACATCCCGATAGGCTTCAGTCTGCTTAAAATCGATCTGTCGTCAAGTAATACCACGACTTTGCCAGCAACAAACGTTACGAGCAATGTAACCACCTCACCGCTCTCCTCTCTTGACGGCTTTACCTTCTCGAGGAGCCCCAACGAGACGTCAGGGTCCATCTGTGAACTGATAACCCCAGTGCGGTGTCAACCCCCGGTAGATGGCGAACGATTTGCTCTGCAAGACGTGCAGCTCTCGGATCTCTCTGTGTGTCAGCAGCGGTACCCTCAATATACCGGGTTCAATACTTCTGGGCTTGTCTGTGTGCCGCAGGACATCTGCCTTCAGCACAACCTCGGCGCAATACTGGTCTGCAGGGGAAGTGCAAATGACCCCAGCAAACGACTCGGTTTCGCTATCCACGGAGCCGATTGCGCCCAGGGTCAGCTACACTGGCCTGCCATTATCAGCACGACTACCGAGCAGACTATTGCGTGGATTGAAGTGGCCATCGGCAACCGAACGCCAACACCC